CGTCTCCCTTCCCCTCCCGTCTCCCGTCTCCCGTCTCCCGTCTCCCGTCTCCTCTCCGTCTCCCGTCTCCCGTCTCCCGTCTCCCGTCTCCTCTCCCGTCTCCCGTCTCCCGTCTCCCGTCTCCCGTCTCCCGTCTCCCGTCTCCCGTCTCCCTCGTCTCCCGTCTCCCGTCTCCCGTCTCCCGTCTCCCGTCTCCGTCTCCCGTCTCCCGTCTCCCGTCTCCCTCTCCCGTCTCCCGTCTCCCGTCTCCCGTCTCCCGTCTCCCGTCTCCCGTCTCCCGTCTCCCGTCTCCCGTCTCCCGTCTCCCGTCTCCCGTCTCCCGTCTCCCGTCTCCCGTCTCCCGTCTCCCGTCTCCCGTCTCCCGTCTCCCGTCTCCCGTCTCCCGTCTCCGTCTCCCGTCTCCCGTCTCCCGTCTCCCGTCTCCCGTCTCCCGTCTCCCGTCTCCCGTCTCCCGTCTCCCGTCTCCCGTCTCCCGTCTCCCGTCTCCCGTCTCCCGTCTCCCGTCTCCCGTCTCCCGTCTCCCGTCTCCCGTCTCCTCGTCTCCCGTCTCCCGTCTCCCGTCTCCCTCTCCGTCTCGCGTCGTTTGTGTTCGCTTTCGTCCCTTTCCTTTTCCCGCTCCCTGTCTCTTCCCTCCTCCCCTCCCCCCTGTATAAATATGGAGGCTGTCGAAGTCAGTGTAATAGTATATTAAGCATAAGCATGCTTTATTATTTGTTAACATCATCTTCATCATCAGCCACAACCCACTAAACTATAACACGACCCGACCTATTCAATTTGCCAGTGAGTTCAGAAAAGTAACTGCTGTAACATGTTTCATACTTTCCTGACTCCTTGCCTAATTTTCTGGTTGTTCGTCTGTCTGTCTGTCTGTGTGCCTTGTCAGTCTGCCAAATGCCAAAGGCTACTTATGGCAAAATTACAAAATATTCATTAAACAATTTGTTGTGCTTTTAAATAGAAATAATAATAATAATAACAACAATAATAAACATAATAACAAAAATTTGTATATTTTGTAAGTAAATATTAGCAAAACAACTTAAATACACAATTAAATACATAATAATAAAAAGACTTACTCAAGCAAAAATGAATGAATGAATGAATGAATGTTTCGTTATATATACAAACAAAATACATAAATGTTTATTTTTCATGTACATATTTTGTTCTTTTATATAAAATGTTAAATTTAAAGACACATTAATGCAACATGGCAGTTTATTATAATTATGGCCAGTAAATGAAATTGTAGCTGGAAAATGGCAAATTTATAAGAAAATGTTCAAATAATGTACATATAATATAAGATACAAGAAGCCTTTTATTAAAAAAAATATATATAATAATAATAATGAAAACTCAACACCATGTGTCTTCTATGGCTTATTTTATTTTTATTTTTTTGGGGCAAGAGAAGAGTTTGCCTGTTGTCGTCCTCTTGTAGTTTTCAATATTTTATTTTTTCAATTCTTGCTCTTAAATAGTTGAAAGGACTTTAGTGTTAAGTTATTGACAGTGTTTAAGTATTTTTCTGCTTATTTAGCTATAAATTTTTATTATTATTTTTTTTTTAAATATAGTTTTTTTTGTAGAAAACATTTATTGACATTTGTATTATTTATTTATGTTGTTTATTTGAAAAACATAGTTGTTTAATATTTATTTTTAAATAATTAAATAATTGTCAATATCCCAGCAAAAGGTTAGTAATGGCAGATCATTTAACTAATAAAACCATCACAGTAGTTAACTTTGGACGAAAACTCAAATTTTTGGTAAAAAATCGATTTTTTCGAAAAATTAATTTTTTTTTTTTTGACAAAAAATTGTTTTCTTCGAAAAATTCAATTTTTTAGAGAAAAACCTCTTTTTTAACAAAAAACTTAATTTTTAGTGAAAAATCTCATTTTTAGTGAAAAATCTCATATTTAGTGAAAAATCTCATATTTAGTGAAAAATTTAATTTTTAGTGAAAAATCTCATTTTTAGTGAAAAATCAAATTTTGGTGGAAACAAATTATTTTTACGAAATACTTAATTTTAAGTTAAAATTGTAATATTCTGTTTTAAAAATTTTTAATTTTTTTCTAAAAAAATAATTCTAAAACGAGTGTAAACATAACCACTACAGATTTATGGAACTGGCAATACCTTTATCTGGAAGATTGTTTTAATACTAAACCCCTTCTAATAAATTTCCAAGGCACCAGTTCTTTGGCACTAGTTCATTTGTGAAATATCATAAAACACAAAAAAAGTGGCTTCTGAGTCATAAAATGGAAAATTAATGTTCAGTATTTAGAAATTTACATAAATTTCTTTATAAAAATTGTTTCAACTTTACTTAACTAAACTGCAATTAAAGACAAATCAAACAAATTACTATAACTATTCTGTAATTTCTAATGCAAATTTTGCTGGAAGCCGTTTCTTCATAAATTTACCTTGTATTGCATAGACTTATACTGAACACAAACTGCCTTGAATGTGAGAGCATTACTGTCAAAATCTACTACTTAAATTGACTTTCCCATCTTGCATGTCTATGTTAATGACATTTAGCGGTAATTTTCAGAGTTGTTTAAAACTAAAAATAAACTTGGTAGCACTTTTCTCGTTAAATATATGTTTTGCTAGCAAACGCTAGATGTCGGTGGTAGGAAATATTTTTGATATGAAACACGTTGTTATTGACTGAATTTATTAGACTAAAGACTAGACTAAAGACCAGACTATAGACTAGATTAAAAACCTGCCTGTAGACAATACTTTAGACTAGACTAAGGACTATGCAATAGATTTGATTATAGACAAGAACATAGGCAAGAGTATAGATCAGACTACAAACTAAATAGAATATAGACTGTACTATTGGCCAGACTATCAATTACAAAATAAGCTAGACTAAACTATAAATTAGATTATAGCCTACTAGTCTATAGATTGAACTATGGACTATACTAAGTAGTGAACTAATTAGAAAAAGGCCAGTACTAGAATATAGACCTAACTATAAACTAGATAATAGACTTGAATATGGACTTTAGTCTATAGTCCAAACTATACTATAGACTAGACTATAGACTATACTTTAGACTATACTGTAGACTAGGCTGTAGGATAGACTATATCATATACTAGGTTGTAGACCTAGACTATAGACTAGACTATAGACTAGACTATAGACTAGACTATAGACTAGACTATAGACTAGACTATAGACTAGACTATAGACTAGACTATAGACTAGACTATAGACTAGACTATAGACGAGACTATAGACTAGACTATAGACTAGACTATAGACTAGACTATAGACTAGACTATAGACTAACTATAGACTAGACTATAGACTAGACTATAGACTAGACTATAGACTAGACTATAGACTAGACTATAGACTAGACTATAGACTAGACTATAGACTAGACTATAGACTAGACTATAGACTAACTATAGACTAGACTATAGACTAGACTATAGACTAGACTATAGACTAGACTATAGACTAGACTATAGACTAGACTATAGACTAGACTATAGACTAGACTATAGACTAGACTATAGACTAGACTATAGACTAGACTATAGACTAGACTATAGACTAGACTATAGACTAGACTATAGACTAGACTATAGACTAGACTATAGACTAGACTATAGACTAGACTATAGACTAGACTATAGACTAGACTATAGACTAGACTATAGACTAGACTATAGACTAGACTATAGACTAGACTATAGACTAGACTATAGACTAGACTATAGACTAGACTATAGACTAGACTATAGACTAGACTATAGACTAGACTATAGACTAGACTATAGACTAGACTATAGACTAGACTATAGACTAGACTATAGACTAGACTATAGACTAGACTATAGACTAGACTATAGACTAGACTATAGACTAGACTATAGACTAGACTATAGACTAGACTATAGACTAGACTATAGACTAGACTATAGACTAGACTATAGACTAGACTATAGACTAGACTATAGACTAGACTATAGACTAGACTATAGACTAGACTATAGACTAGACTATAGACTAGACTATAGACTAGACTATAGACTAGACTATAGACTAGACTATAGACTAGACTATAGACTAGACTATAGACTAGACTATAGACTAGACTATAGACTAGACTATAGACTAGACTATAGACTAGACTATAGACTAGACTATAGACTAGACTAGACTAGACTAGACTATAGACTAGACTATAGACTAGACTATAGACTAGACTATAGACTAGACTATAGACTAGACTATAGACTAGACTATAGACTAGACTATAGACTAGACTATAGACTAGACTATAGACTAGACTATAGACTAGACTATAGACTAGACTATAGACTAGACTATAGACTAGACTATAGACTAGACTATAGACTAGACTATAGACTAGACTATAGACTAGACTATAGACTAGACTATAGACTAGACTATAGACTAGACTATAGACTAGACTATAGACTAGACTATAGACTAGACTATAGACTAGACTATAGACTAGACTATAGACTAGACTATAGACTAGACTATAACTAGACTATAGACTAGACTATAGACTAGACTATAGACTAGACTATAGACTAGACTATAGACTAGACTATAGACTAGACTATAGACTAGACTATAGACTAGACTATAGACTAGACTATAGACTAGACTATAGACTAGACTATAGACTAGACTATAGACTAGACTATAGACTAGACTATAGACTAGACTATAGACTAGACTATAGACTAGACTATAGACTAGACTATAGACTAGACTATAGACTTCTAGACTAGTTTTTATTCTAGCCTATAGACTTTTTAAAGTATAACATTACTAAACTATTTTCTTTTAATAAAACCACTTTTTATAATATGTTTTTTATTTTTTCAAAAATTACTCTTTGAAATATGTATATATTTTATAAATTTTTTTTTTACAAAAAAACTTTTCTCTCTGTGTTTCTTTATAATTTATTATATACATAATTCATATAATTTCATCACACCCTAAAATTAAGAAAAAGAAATAAATAAAATCATAAAATAACATACAAAAAAAAATATATATATAAGATAATGTTTTAAAAAATTTATAAAATTTTACCAAAATCCTAAATAAAAATATCTAACAATTTACCATTTAATAAAAAGTAAATTGCAAATGAAACTGAACTGCAACTTAAAACTAAAAGTAATTATTTAAAATAATTAGCAACAAATATCCAGAAATAAAGGAAAAGTTTAACAAACAAACCTAACTACCAAAAACTACAGCCATAACTAAAATTTAGTTAAATTAAATTAAAAAAAAAAGAAAATTATTTAATAACTTTCCTTAACAATTTAGAAAAAATAGAATAGAAAACTTAAATTAGCCAACAAGATGTTTAAAATTAAACTTAAAACTAATAAAGACTTCAAAGAAGAAACTAACAAGGAAGATCAGGAAATATTTTAAGGCCTTTTGTTTTTTTTTTCTTTTTCAATTGAAAATTAGTAACCGGTTTCGGGTTCTTGTTTTAGGGCCATGCGATAGGTGTCACCATCATGCATGGTATTTAGCATATAACTAGAGGAGGTGGGAGTGGCGGTAGTGGGAGGCAAATTTGGCGGTATAGCAGTTAAGGCCTCAGAGGGTCTTATCTTTAAGGCAGCTCTTCTTAACATATCATCTGAAGAAGTCTCTGCACTGCGGTTGTATTCATTTAAGGTCATTTCCACGGGATTACGTAATACAGACGAATTGCCACCATTGTTATTATCCGGGTTATTTTCGTTTCTTTGGTAGGGATGATTACGATTAGAGTTGTGTGTATGTGTTAGAGAACCCTGAGCTAAATTTGAATTTTGATTGTGCGGCGAGTGAGGTGATTGGTGAGGCGTCATATTGGACTGCTGTAAATGACCCAATAACGAAGAGTTATTTAAAGAATTAACACTGGAACGACCATTGCTGTACGAGTCCATATAATTGCTTTGTCTACTTTGTTCATCCACCTCCAGACGTTCGTTGTCATTGAGTAAAGGTGAGTTATTCTCCCGACGCATTTGTTGATTGTGCTGACCAGCAGCTGTGGAAACATTGTGTGAACGATTGGAAAGGGGAGGACCGCACAAGCTAAAATGACCATTAACCGAAGAGCCATCCATTAATGGTGGAATTAATTGAGCATCTAAACTACTATCCATACAACTGGACATGGTGTCGTGTGTTAAATGATGTTTACTATTGGGCGATGACAAAACATCCAAAGTGGAAGTCACTTGACTAACATCTAGGCCATGAGTGCCACCATAATTGTTTAGGTTGGGTGGTGTTAAAGGGGCATTATTATCGGCAAGTTCACCTAAAAAGTGGAAATATTTATTTAATCAAATGATTTAATAGTTTAAAAGTAGTTTATGTTTAGTACCTCCTAGCAACATTTCCTGCAGCAAAGAATCTATGTGAGCCACTCCGAAAATTTTGGCAAATTGTATTTGTTCGATCATTTGCATGGTTATTGACTGTAGTACCGGTAATATAAGTAATATTTCGCCAAAACGTCCTCGTGATTCATATTGGCGATCGGACACATAGTCCTCTAAATTGTTAAGAATTTGATGACGCAAGGTTTTAATGCGCTGGGGTTCATTGAGGCCACGAGCATCTAGAATGAAACATTTGATTTTATAAAGTTACTTTTCTTAAAACGGGTACGGTTTCTGAAAGTTCAAACTTACTGGGATCGAAGAATACCAAAGCCTTAATGCAGGCCAATTCGGTATCATCTATATTAACATCTTTTAGACCCATTACCAGTTCATCAATGATACGCGCTCCTATGCGTGATATGTCTAGATTTGGCGAGACCCTCGGATCTACTTAACATTAAAATTCATATTAGTAATTCATAGTTCCATATATAAAAGTTTGAAATAAAAATCTTAACCTACCCGGACAATGTTTAGTGATAACACAATTGTTGCTCAGCAACAAAACATCTTTTAAATGCATTGATCTTCGTGACAAACCCAATAGCAAATGTTCACCCGCATGAGCCCTCAGCAAGGCAACCTGATCATCCAGTTGTAGCTCATTAAAGGCTGGTATGTGTTTCGCCCATTCCACTAAAGTCAATAACTGTTGTTTCATTGATTCACATACATCATTAATGCTGGCAAATTGTTTGGTAGAGAGATCTTCATTGGCATTGGTTTCCATGGCAGCTCCCGCTTTAGATTGACGACTTTCCAATTCAGCCTTAACCAAAGAGATCACCGAGAGGCCATTACCGGGATCGGGATCATCATTTGAGGTGCGTCTACAGCTAATACGATCTCTTTCGTTCTGTACTGCCTCCTTTTTCATGCCCGCCTTGAAACATTTGCGCAAACGACAATAACGACACTGATTACGTTTATCCTTGTCCACCACACAGTTGCGGGCAAATCTACTCAAAAAAACCATTAAATTAAAATCCAAATATTATTTTTAACTCTATCTTTAACCCACCTGCAGGTATATTGATGATTTTTGCGCACACTGCGCCTAAAAAACCCCTTACAACCATCACAACTGGAAGCACCATAATGTTTCCCTGTGGCCCGATCACCACATATTGCACACACTGTTGACGATTGCTGTGAGTTAGCATTACTACTGCTATTGTTGTTGTTATTATTATTGCTGTTATTACCGATATTTGCAAATGTTGTAGTATTATTATTGCCTATACTACCCGTACTTAAGGGTGAATTGGCATTACTTTGATTACTATTGCTATTGTGGCCCAAGGCCGCTAAAGGACTCAAGGCCTGAGCTACTGGACTGTGTACCGTAGTATTGGTGGCTGATGATAAAGCATCCGAGTGTATCATGTGATTCTCAGCTTCTGTAATTTAAGAAAAAAAGTAAATTTTAAACTTTTAGTTTTTAAACAATTAAATAGTAAATTTGCATAGTTATCTTTAATTGTGATCATAAAAGCTGTTTTAAAAGTTTTTTATGTTTTTTTCTTAAAGACAACTAGTTTCTTAAAGTTAATGATCCTTTAACTTCTTCTGAGTAAAAATCCCCGTGCAATTATTTAAATAATATTTAAGTAATTATTTTTGTCGTATTTATTTTTATGTTATTGTTCTTAAGTATTTAATTGTTTTAATTAAAAACAATTTATTAGCCTCATTCATTCACTAACATTTGCTCTATTTAGCTGAATAAAAATGAATGTGAATAGAACAATTAATTAGAATACGAAAGCCTTACATAAGACGACTATAATAAAAGCTACACGAAAAAGAGTTACAGGTCAATTATAGCTCAGTTCCAGATCAGTTTTCGCATAGATGCAGTTCAATTTTAGTTCTACTTCAGTTCTAGTTCAGTTCTAGTTCACTTCTAGTTAAATTCTAGTTCAGTTCTAGTTCAGTTCTAGTTCAGTTCTAGTTCAGTTCTAGTTCAGTTCTAGTTCAGTTCTAGTTCAGTTCTAGTTCAGTTCTAGTTCAGTTCTAGTTCAGTTCTAGTTCAGTTCTAGTTCAGTTCTAGTTCAGTTCTAATTCAGTTCTAGTTCAGTTCTAGTTCAGTTCTAGTTCAGTTCTAGTTCAGTTCTAGTTCAGTTCTAGTTCAGTTCTAGTTCAGTTCTAGTTCAGTTCTAGTTCAGTTCTAGTTCAGTTCTAGTTCAGTTCCAGTTCAGTTCTAGTTCAGTTCCAGTTCAGTTCTAGTTCAGTTCTAGTTCAGTTCTAGTTCAGTTCTAGTTCAGTTCTAGTTCAGTTCTAGTTCAGTTCTAGTTCAGTTCTAGTTCAGTTCTAGTTCAGTTCTAGTTCAGTTCTAGTTCAGTTCTAGTTAGTTCAGTTTAGTTCAGTTCTAGTTCAGTTCTAGTTCAGTTCTAGTTCAGTTCTAGTTCAGTTCTAGTTCAGTTCTAGTTCAGTTCTAGTTCAGTTCTAGTTCAGTTCTAGTTCAGTTCTAGTTCAGTTCTAGTTCAGTTCTAGTTCAGTTCTAGTTTCTTCTAGTTCAGTTCTAGTTCAGTTCTAGTTCAGTTCTAGTTCAGTTCTAGTTCAGTTCTAGTTCAGTTCTAGTTCAGTTCTAGTTCAGTTCTAGTTCAGTTCTAGTTCAGTTCTAGTTCAGTTCTAGTTCAGTTCTAGTTCAGTTCTAGTTCAGTTCTAGTTCAGTTCTAGTTCAGTTCTAGTTCAGTTCTAGTTCAGTTCTAGTTCAGTTCTAGTTCAGTTCTAGTTCAGTTCTAGTTCAGTTCTAGTTCAGTTCTAGTTCAGTTCTAGTTCAGTTCTAGTTCAGTTCTAGTTCAGTTCTAGTTCAGTTCTTCAGTTCTTCTAGTTCAGTTCTAGTTCAGTTCTAGTTCAGTTCTAGTTCAGTTCTAGTTCAGTTCTAGTTCAGTTCTAGTTCAGTTCTAGTTCAGTTCTAGTTCAGTTCTAGTTCAGTTCTAGTTCTAGTTCAGTTCTAGTTCAGTTCTAGTTCAGTTCTAGTTCAGTTCTAGTTCAGTTCTAGTTCAGTTCTAGTTCTTCTAGTTCAGTTCTAGTTCAGTTCTAGTTCAGTTCTAGTTCAGTTCTAGTTCAGTTCTAGTTCAGTTCTAGTTCAGTTTCTAGTTCAGTTCTAGTTCAGTTCTAGTTCAGTTCTAGTTCAGTTCTAGTTCAGTTCTAGTTCAGTTCTAGTTCAGTTCTAGTTCAGTTCTAGTTCAGTTCTAGTTCAGTTCTAGTTCAGTTCTAGTTCAGTTCTAGTTCAGTTCTAGTTCAGTTCTAGTTCAGTTCTAGTTCAGTTCTAGTTCAGTTCTAGTTAGTTCTAGTTCAGTTTCTAGTTCAGTTCTAGTTCAGTTCTAGTTCAGTTCTAGTTCAGTTCTAGTTCAGTTAGTTCAGTTCTAGTTCAGTTCTAGTTCAGTTCTAGTTCAGTTCTAGTTCAGTTCTAGTTCAGTTCTAGTTCAGTTCTAGTTCAGTTCTAGTTCAGTTCTAGTTCAGTTCTAGTTCAGTTCTAGTTCAGTTCTAGTTCAGTTCTAGTTCAGTTCTAGTTCAGTTCTAGTTCAGTTCTAGTTCAGTTCTAGTTCAGTTCTAGTTCAGTTTTAGTCAGTTCTAGTTCAGTTCTAGTTCAGTTTAGTCCAATTCTAGTTCAGTTCTAGTTCAGTTCTAGTTCAGTTTCTAGTTCAGTTCTAGTTCAGTTCTAGTTCAGTTCTAGTTCAGTTCTAGTTCAGTTCTAGTTCAGTTCTAGTTCAGTTCTAGTTCAGTTCTAGTTCAGTTCTAGTTCAGTTCTAGTTCAGTTCTAGTTCAGTTCTAGTTCAGTTCTAGTTCAGTTCTAGTTCAGTTCTAGTTCAGTTAGTTCAGTTCTAGTTCAGTTCTAGTTCAGTTCTAGTTCAGTTCTAGTTCAGTTCTAGTTCAGTTCTAGTTCAGTTCTAGTTCAGTTCTAGTTCAGTTCTAGTTCAGTTCTAGTTCAGTTCGTTCAGTTCAGTTCAGTTCTAGTTCAGTTCTAGTCAGTTCTAGTTCAGTTCTAGTTCAGTTCTAGTTCAGTTCTAGTTCAGTTCTAGTTCAGTTCAGTTCAGTTCTAGTTCAGTTCTAGTTCAGTTCTAGTTCAGTTCTAGTTCAGTTCTAGTTCAGTTCTAGTTCAGTTCTAGTTCAGTTCTAGTTCAGTTCTAGTTCAGTTCTAGTTCAGTTCTAGTTCATTCTAGTTCAGTTCTAGTTCAGTTCTAGTTCAGTTCTAGTTCAGTTCTAGTTCAGTTCTAGTTCAGTTCTAGTTCAGTTCTAGTTCAGTTCTAGTTCAGTTCTAGTTCAGTTCTAGTTCAGTTCTAGTTCAGTCTAGTTCTTCTAGTTCAGTTCTAGTTCAGTTCTAGTTCAGTTCTAGTTCAGTTCTAGTTCAGTTCTAGTTCAGTTCTAGTTCAGTTCTAGTTCAGTTCTAGTTCAGTTCTAGTTCAGTTCTAGTTCAGTTCTAGTTCAGTTCTAGTTCAGTTCTAGTTCGTTCTAGTTCAGTTCTAGTTCAGTTCTAGTTCAGTTCTAGTTCAGTTCTAGTTCAGTTCTAGTTCAGTTCTAGTTCAGTTCTAGTTCAGTTCTAGTTCAGTTCTAGTTCAGTTCTAGTTCAGTTCTAGTTCAGTTGTTCAGTTCTAGTTCAGTTCTAGTTCAGTTCTAGTTCAGTTCTAGTTCAGTTCTAGTTCAGTTCTAGTTCAGTTCTAGTTCAGTTCTAGTTCAGTTCTAGTTCAGTTCTAGTTCAGTTCTAGTTCAGTTCTAGTTCAGTTCTAGTTCAGTTTGTTCAGTTCTAGTTCAGTTCTAGTTCAGTTCTAGTTCAGTTCTAGTTCAGTTCTAGTTCAGTTCTAGTTCAGTTCTAGTTCAGTTCTAGTTCAGTTCTAGTTCAGTTCTAGTTCAGTTCTAGTTCAGTTCTAGTTCAGTTCTAGTTCAGTTCTAGTTCAGTTCTAGTTCAGTTCTAGTTCAGTTCTAGTTCAGTTCTAGTTCAGTTCTAGTTCAGTTCTAGTTCAGTTCTAGTTCAGTTCTAGTTCAGTTCTAGTTCAGTTCTAGTTCAGTTCTAGTTCAGTTCTAGTTCAGTTCTAGTTCTAGTTCAGTTCTAGTTCAGTTCTAGTTCAGTTCTAGTTCAGTTCTAGTTCAGTTCTAGTTCAGTTCTAGTTCAGTTCTAGTTCAGTTCTAGTTCAGTTCTAGTTCAGTTTTAGTCCAGTTCTAGTTCAGTTCTAGTTCAGTTCTAGTTCAGTTTTAGTCCAATTCTAGTTCAGTTCTAGTTCAGTTCTATTCAGTTCTAGTTCATTTCTAGTTCATTTCTAGTTCAGTTCTAGTTCAGTTCTAGTTCAGTTCTAGTTCAGTTCTAGTTCAGTTCTAGTTCAGTTCTAGTTCAGTTCTAGTTCAGTTCTAGTTCAGTTCTAGTTCAGTTCTAGTTCAGTTCTAGTTCAGTTCTAGTTCAGTTCTAGTTCAGTTCTAGTTCAGTTTTAATTCAGTTCTATTATAAACCATCAATAACATTCTTATCGGCTCAATAAGATGTTGCTATTTGAATAATGAAAAGAATTGGATGCACCTAATATATATTGTTTTCTTTCTAAATACATCAGATAACCTTTTATATCGAAAAAATTTTAATATCTTCTTGCGAAATGTTAAATTAGTTGTTTGTAGTATTTTTAAAATTTGGCATGGATGTCTGAAATGTATCCAAAATAATTAATACTATTGTGTCAAATTTGAGGATTTGTTATAATATTTAAATAAATAATTGTGGAAGAAAATGTTTACAATTTGTTTGCCAAAAACAAATTTTAGGAATGTTTCCCGCAATCTACTAATATTAATCAAAAGCATTTTATGGAGGGTTTAAATCTGCTTTCTTAGAACGTTCTTCTCAAGTTATTTCCTACGTAGGAGCTTATATATAGCATGTTTGCTAAACATTAGTTATTACTTATTAGGTATAATATTTATTATTATTAATATTGCATGTAAAGTGTTAAAAATCATCGTTACTCGGCATTTTCCAACAAAAATTGAATAAATTGATTGCAAAATACTTGCTCACAACTAAAATTGTTAAAAAAATATTGTTGTTGTTGATTAAAATATAATAGTTATATTTTAAAAAATGTTTGCAACTGGTATTACAAAAAATAAAGCTTTTATTTGTTTGTGTGTGAGTTTTTTTTAAACAAACAAAACTTTCGTACGTCTCATATCAGGTTGACGAAACATTGTTGTCCCGTATAAGACGTCTCAACATGGTATATCGGTATCGGTTCAAATATGTAGGTATGCATGTATGAGTAGTGTCTGTGGTTTTGTTTTTTGCAAAAAATAAAATATAAAAACTGCTTGATCATCGTGATCATGTTGAAAAGAAATACATATATTTTTATAAAAAAAACAATAATTTCAATGTTAAAAACTTGAGTATATCCACGACACAGAG